TAAATTACCGACGGCCCCCTAACGTTTCTTACTCACACATTTCTCAGAAAGATCAGGCTGAAGACTGAGCTGAATGCATGACTCCTAAGTACACAGGACTGAAGACCTTAACGCCTAAACTCTCGTTTCTATGACGACATCCTGGACCTGACATGAACAGTCTGAACTGTGAACACTAAGCATGTTCCATCACAAGCCTCCTCTAGCAAACAAGCCGTGGTAGCTGAGGGATCGGAAGAGTGCCTTGGAATTTTTAGTGGGGTTTTAAAATATTTTCCATGTTCTATTGTAACTATTCCCTAATTCTTTTCATTGACATACCAGTAAAAACTCAATTCTGCGTTTGAAATTCACTCTCCTGGCAATTTGGCAGAGCTTGCGGTCTGACAAACAAAAGCTTTGGTTTTAGCTCAAGGGTTTTTCGTTTGTTTTGTGACTGAATTGTTCCTGCTAGTTAAAGAACATTAAGGCTAAAAGGCGCCCCAGCCTTGTAGCTCTGCGTTTCTCGGGACGCCTGCGAGGGTCTCAGTGGTTTCTTTCACGACCCAAAGCGATGCAGCCTACGCAGAGCGACATAAACACCGTACTGCAGCTCCGCCCCCTACTGCTCATTCTTTACCCTCCTTCCAGAGGACAACAGGCATACTTACAACAGGGGGCTGGCTGGAAATCATTTGCAGAAAAAAAAAAAAGAGGGATGGCGAACAATGGAAAGAATGACAGATCTTCTCAATAACAATAAAGATAAACAATAGCTGCCAGTCAGGTTTGCAGTCGTTTTTGGCTACATCTTTCTCTTGAATTAAGGATTGGAAAGGTAACTCATTAAGAGCAGGAAAAACTTATGGTTGGCCGCCCTGGAATACCCCAACCCATCTGGTGGTCGGGGAGCAATCCCCTCGAACCCTACATCAACAGAACAGAGAAAACATGCGTTCTTTCATTTCATGAAAAGAATTCAATGAGCAGTGTTCTACCACACATTCCAGTAGATGTTTTCATCCAAACCAGCATGCTAAGGCTATGTTCATATTACAAGCCTCATTGCACAATTCTGATTTTTTGCTCGGATCGAATTTGCCAGTCCTGACAATTCGCATTCATAATTACAAGCCACCTGTATCTAACTGTGAAGTGAACGCATCTGTCCTTGAAAATGGTTCGCATGCGCACATTGATACATTTTTGTGCAAGTCATCTGTGTCATCAATAACGAAAAACGCCCGGCGCACGGCTATAGACAAAAAAATAAAACACATGAATTCCGATCTGACCATTTCATGTTCATGTCGCAAGGCCAGGAATCGGATATGCATCTAATCTAGGACCACATATGAAAGTGACTCAAATCTCATTTGAAAAGACCCTGATGAGACCCTAAAGAACACGAGAGGTTAATACCTGGTCATATAGAAACAAAAGATCCACTCTTAGCTATGTTCCACATTGCCTAACTGTGGCCTACATTACATACCTCTCCCTGTGACTGGCAGGAGAATTAATGGCTGTAATTGAAGATGGAAGCTATTAGTCACACTTAGAATCACTTGGGACGGTGTTTGATGGCCCTGAGAAGGCGGGCGAATGTTCCCTTGAGAAGCGGGGAATCTGTCGCGTTGCATTTATCATGGAAGCAGAGGGTCAGGAGGAGGACGGACTCTGGGAGACAGGAAATGCTCCCTTGCCACGTGGTTAAAAAAAACGGGGGGGCGTAGCAGTTAGGGGAGGGGGACCGCCGGCCTCTGCGGGAACACTTTCCCTGTGCTTTTATGCTGTTGTCATGACAACCCAGGCGACACTTCACTCAAAGGTGTCTGCTGAATCACAACAAACACAAACAGCAAAAAATATACTAAACACACTAATATATTTGATATTATCACTGTGACACATTATGCCAGAGATGCTGTTTTTGTGCTTGTGTCATTGTATGGTGATGTCTTTACTACTTCCTGCACTTGTCTGTAGCAAGACATAGAATATCTGTATAACAGTGACTCCTACTGGTCATTGCTAAAGATGCAATGGATCAAGAACGGCTTACTCTAAGTCTGAGAAGTCAGAAGGGAGTGCATCCCTGCAGGTAGTACTTGGGACTGTCCAGGTACTTTGGGTAGTACTTGGGACTGTCCAGGTACTTGGGGTAGTACTTGGGACTGTCCAGGTACTTGGGGTAGTACTTGGGACTGTCCAAGTACTTGGGGTAGTACTTGGGACTGTCCAAGTACTTGGGGTAGTACTAGGGACTGTCCAGCTTGGTCTGGTTCTTCCTCTCACTTGATTGAATCACTGCGCTATTCTGACATTCATGGAGACTGTGCTGTAGACTCCCTGTCCGCTGGCTCTCAATCCCATTCCCTTATACGGCTCTCTCTGACCTGACACATTACACGTCCTTTTCATCTCTCCTTAATGGAGTATAATGTTCATGAACAGACAAGCATGTGTTTAAACATGACACGTCTCAAGCCAGACGGAGACGGCAGCCACTGAAAACTGCTGAGCTAAAACAAATGCTAGAATCACTGGATCTAGCATAAATATACTCAGGTAGTGTTATATACTTTGGACTGGCTGAGACGAGAAAGCAGGCTTTACCTTTCATTTGAGATTCAGAGTATGCATTCTTAAGATATCTGCAAGACAATAACTAGGGTTCGGTATCTACTGTCTTACGACACGGAAATGCTTCCGACCACAATGACATTCGACACAGCAGCAGGGACATCCTGTGCGTCTGATCCCTAACAGAAAGGTCAGAATCTAAATCCGTCAAGGACCATGAAGCAAGAAAACATACCACAGAAAATCTCCTTACAGTAATCAGAGAGTCATTCTTTGTCAGACTCAACTCCAGTTAATACACAGTTTATTTACATTTCTTTTTACATTTTAACTGTTTGACTTATAATTGTAGGTATTTGTTTAGGTTTAGGATTGTAATGAGAGCCAAAGTTTTCACTATAATGTGGCTCAAAAGCCAATAAATCAGAATCCTGGAAATGTCATGCGACACGTTCATACTAACATGCATGATTTTCCACTGCCTCAATGCTCAGTATTACTCCAAGTAACAAGGAGTTAGCTGAGCCCCCGCAGCAGAATGGAAGATGATGTCATACGGGATGCAGTCACACGGGGCTGCTAGCAGGTGGGCAATCAAAGCAAATGCAAGCGGCACATAGTGAAGCAGCCATGGGGATTAAAGGAATATGTGCACATACACATACGCACACAGAAATACACACGAACACACAAACCAGTCTCTGTGAAATACAACACAGTAGTGATGGACAAAATGACACCTAATGAACCACTTGCTGTATTTTCTGACCCCACTAGATGGTGCTCTTCGATTGCTTTGAGGCATGCTTTGAGCCCTTTTTTTAAACAGAGAGCACCATCTAGTGGGGTCAAAAAATATAGCAAATGGTTCATGAAGCGCCATTTTGTCCATCACTACAACACAGCCAATGAGCTAGAAGAATATTTATTATAGGGTACTAACCAAGTCAGTATTATACATCATGTGATGATTTCATCAACACACACAATGCCCTGTGTTTGAAAATGAAAAGGGGCCTTGAGACAGGTCACACTGGATCTGGCAAAGAGAGTCATGCAGCATTCTCAGAAGCATGGCATTGTGGGTAGGGCTCTCTGCGAGGCATGGCACTGTGGGTAGGGCTCTCTGAGAAGCATGGCACTGTGGGAAGGGCTCTCTGAGAAGCATGGCACTGTGGGTAGGGCTCTCTGAGAAGCATGGCATTGTGGGTAGGGCTCTCTGAGAAGCATGGCACTGTGGGTAGGGCTCTCTGAGAAGCATGGCACTGTGGGAAGGGCTCTCTGAGAAGGATATGGCAATAAATTTTCTTTCAATTGGCATTAAAATAATAATTTGAAATCTGTTCATTCAGTGGAAAACATAAAAAGTTATTCACTCTAAAACAGTGTAACCTCAGGGAGTTTTGCTTAACTGAACATTTTTTATCCTTGTATTTTTCGGCCATTTCTACAGCTGGGTGTTTTTTACTGGAGCGGCTCAGGTTAAGTAGCCCCCCCCCCCCGGGGGGTGACCGCCGGGTTACAGCTCCGTGTTGGAGCAGCACGCTACCTGCCGTGGGCTGGGAGGGGGGGGGGCCAGGGTCCAAACAGGAAACCAGGCAGGCCTTCTGGTTAACATAGGCAGGCCAGTGACCTTTGTTTAATTATAGAGGTCTCCAGTGCGGCCGGCATGCTGACACGCACACGCTGCCTCTCAAGCTGTGCAACCCAACCTGTGAGCCCCATCCTCCTGCAGGGGGGGTCTGACATCACACCCACACGTACCTGGGGGTACAGACTGCACGCTGAGATGTGACACTGTGGTTAACTAACGTCCTGCAGCCTGCAAAACAAACCCTGAAATAATGCCTTATGAGTACTTCGCCGAGGGCCGAATCTACAGTGCTAGCTAGATAACGGAATGAGATTTCAGCCGCACTCCTCGGGACACAAGACCGTCTCGTGAGACTGGGAAAGAGCGAAGGTCAGCAGCTGCTCTCTGTCCTTCGCTTGTACTCCAGCTAAGCTTATACTTAGATTTTGTTCACAAAAATTGGCGAAAATGCGAAACAATCGCATATTTCAAAACAATCAAAGGCTGGGATTCCATCTCCTCAAATTTCTCACGGCCCCCGAAACGAGCTGTATTATTAATTAGCATAACCTTCTGCAAGAGCATGGCTTCCTGTGGAAATGGCCCTGTTACGCTCATCACCGCTGCTGACGTGCAAACTCTCTGGCTGGCCCTGTGCACCAGCCGTGATTTGCGTTTCAAATTCAGAAACGTCTGCGGTCCGGCAGTGATCTGGCCTGTGGGGTAGTTCAGCAGGAGTTTAATGTGAGCCGTTGCCCTGCAGGGTATTCTTCACAAACAAATCTGTCTACAAAACATGCTGAGCGTGACGCTGTGCTGAAAGTCGCATGGGATGCTCTAGTGTGCCGGCATGGTGACTTACTGTCAGGACTCCTGGCGAATGCCTCAGGGATTGGGGACTGCGTCTTGGGTTCACTTAGTGTGGGGGAACTATTCTCTATCCTGGAAGTTCCTGTCAACTCTGGCCCTTTGGCTAGCGGAATATCTGGAAGCTTCCGTGGCGACTCCACCGGGCTTGGCGTCTCCGCTCTCCTCTGGGAGGCGCTGTGGCTGACGGGATCGGCCCGCCTGTTCGCCTGATCTGTGCCCCTGGTGACGCCGGACGTCTCCGGCCTCCTCAGACCGAAGCGCGATGCCACGGAGCCGGCGCTGCCGTCTACGGTCTTGGAGGAGAGGTCGATGGAGAGCTCCGCTCGCCGGGAAGACCCTGAGGGCTGCAGGCCAGGCTTCGCCGTCCGGGGGGGCACCGTCCGGCGAGCCTGAGGCAGTGCGGATGCTTCAGTCTCCTCAGTTTCAAACGACCTCTTCAGAGCTGAAGGAAAAAAGGTCAGATAAAGGTCAGGTAGGTCAGGTCAGATAAAGGTCAGGTAGGTCAGGTCAGATAAAGGTCAAGTAAAGGTCAGATAAAGGTAAATAGGTCAGATAAAAGTGACAATCACAATCACAGACAACAAATGGATTTAATACTAGGGTACACATATTTTTAGTGAAAACGTTAAGTGTGAACTGTAACTGTGAATGGTTACTCAAATAATTTGAGGTTTATGTCCTTATATAAATTGAGTATTTAGAAATGTAGATGTAGAGGACGTACAAGGCAGGATGTCATCAATTAGCGCAAATGACAGCCACCCAAAATCAAATAATGTAGCATGACTTCAATGTATGCTTGTAATGAGGAGGCAGCAATAACTAACCGTGTTCCATCTACTTAAATTTTCCTCATTAGATACAGAACACAGTAACAACTACACTATAAAACGTTTATTCTCTTCGGCCAAGAAATACATCTACCAGTAAATATCTTGTGCATTTTTCAGGAGTATTTGAACCAGAACAGACTGGGTGGCAATTAAATCTGGACATGCTAGAAAACAGCTAGAAAACAGACCCAGCTCAAATTAAAACCAAATCTGCAGAGCTACACTTCAGTTAAATGTGTAAACAGAAAAAAATGAAAGTGCATCAGTCCCTGGAACACATTTGCTAAAATTGTAAGTGATCAGCACAAGCACCCGGCACTTTGTGGTGGGAGGGTTTTTTAAGGCAATCACTGCCACTGAGTACACAAGGAAGAACAACAAGTCTGTTTGTCCCTCTTTGGGCTCTGATAACTGGTGACATTACATCCACGAAACACAAGGCTCTTTTCTCTTCCCTTTGGCAAGTTTTCAGGTATCTGTGACTCAAACCACACATGCTTCTATTGGCTGGCAACAGGCATCTCCCCAAAGGAGCCGGTGTGGGCTTCATGCTAACTCGGGCTGAGACCTGACTATAGAGTCCAGAGAGCTACTGGAATGGGCGTTCTCCGAGTGGACCGGCTTTCACGCATGTGCTGAGAGGACTTCACGATCTGGTTTTCACTGCTGGATATTTTAATATATTATAATATAATGACATTTTCCTTTAAGGTAAGATTGCTACAAACAGGTTGTCAAAATGTAACTTCAAGATTATAGCATTCTGTAAGGTGTTACACCACAATGCAGTGCAGGATGTTACATTAAAGGGTGCTGTAAGGTGTTACACCACAATGCAGTGCAGGATGTTACATTAAAGGGTGCTGTAAGGTGTTACACCACAACGCAGTGCAGGATGTTACATTAA